CTAGCTTCACTGCCTTACAACCAGTATACGCGCCAAAATCGATATCAGTATACTGTTTGATACTATGATTACCCGATGAAGGTCTGCATTTACTACTCACGTGAGTACGGGAGAAAAATTCTAAAAGGGTGCATATATGGGAGCTATGGCTTCCAAACTCTTGAAATTATTTCCAATTTCTAGCCATTTTCACAGAAAAATAGCTTTCTATCTAGGTCGTCCAGAATATGGGAAAAGTCGATACTGACAATCAAGACCGCCCTCGAGCAGAAGTTCGAATAATAAAAGCGTATCCTAGTGATGATTCAAGGTTCAGTTGAAAACGTGGTGTTTTGGTTGTTTGTACATATAATTACGATCAATTGTTGAACGTTCTTTGTTGATTGTCTTTGCTTTCTTCTTTCGTAATATTGCAATCAACAATAAAAATTAATGAAAACCTGAAGTTCTTTTCGAATTTTGTTTTTTCTTTAGCGAATAGCATGGACTGTATGTATTCCGCGTCAGATGAGGTGTGGTTATTAAACTGGAAAATGAAAGTAGAGAAACGAAGGAGAAACTGAGAATAAAGGAATCGTTTTCTGAACAGTGAACGAAGCAAGCAGTCTAGCTATGAGAGACGGTCGCCCCAGAGATAAAGAAAAGATGCGAAAATGAGAGAGCATACTAATGGGCGGGACGCAGACGCCATCGCATTCGCAAAGGTACCAGTATTCACAGGCAGTGGACCCTGACAACCGTGTGGGAGGTGCACCACCGCTGCGGATGCGGACGCACGTGACCTACTTCATTCTTATTTGTTTGTTTATTCATCGAAGAAGTTTCACTCGGCCCATTTGTGGAATGTGCTTTTGAACAGATGACATCGCAAAGTCGTCTTCTATGGATGACGAGAGAGGCAAAGGACGGTTAAGGATAGCGCGAATGATCGAAACAAGGAATCAGGTTGAAAAAAAGTCCTGATCAAAACCTTCACCTTCTTTTGAACACTCACATTTTTGTTACAATAGAATCTCATTCGGTCATATCTTCACCATGACGGTCCGCAACATGTTCCCTACGAAGCGGCAGCTCCGAAAGCCCTGAACTGTGGCGGCTTCGTATCAAAAAATTTGACGATCTTTATTCTCGAGTTCTGAGAGATCATTGAATTTTTCCTTCAACTCCGCCTCAGTTGTGAGCTTGAAGGATAATGTTCGAGCTCACAATTGAGACGGTGTTTAGGATGGCTAGTTCTGGCAGCTAGGCCTATTTGCCAGATCTAGCCGTCTGGGCAGCGTCTCCAGTCCGTGTTCGGTAACCTTGTAGCGGGAGGGCTTCTATATATGCGATCGCGCGTTGTACGAAGAAGACAAACATCTTCGCTTTTTTTTTGGGGGGGGGGGTTTCTATCGTGTAGCGTCCCACAGCTTCTGCAGTTGAAAAGCTCCTGCGCGGTCATGGTGAGTCTGGCAAGAAGCAGTACGGAATAGAACAGTCTTCGGCAATCTCATCAGCGACAGAGCAAACCTTTCTCTCGCTGGATCACCTAAGCCTTTTGGGGTGATTATCCGATAGGGGCCGCGTATGGTTGGCATGCTGAACTCTGCTACCATTCCCAATAGATCTTGGGAAGCGTCTTCTTGTTAGGACGCAGGAGCAAAGATGTGCACATTGATTCGACGCTTTACCGAGTCGCGCATAAGGTGTTGCTCTAATCTAGGTGTATCTTACAGCAGCGCAGACCGCGACCGTGGGCAGCTTTCTGGCAGCGCCTAAGTGTCATCGGTAATTCGCGAGTACAGTAGTGGTCCTCGCTTCCTAGGCACTGCGCAAAGGTCTGCACTGTTCATAACAGGCGGGCATCCAGAACGAGCTTTTTCTTCGATCGGAATTCTCCCTTGAAAAAACGCCGATGTCAACCGAGGGTGTTGAGTAGGATAGTGTAAGATCATTGCGTCATAGATGTAGACGACATTGGATGTAAAAATGTGGATTTTGTAGGAACTTTTGAAAAAGGATAGCTGACAAATGGCTTCAGTCAACAGAATTCATTGTTGGCTGGTGTCAGAGTCCGCGATCCGTCGCAGGTTTCGCTGATTTTCGCGATTTGCGCGATTCACGCGACGGGTCACGGAAATCACAAGTGCCCGATCAATACTGCAAGTTGTTTGTGTTTATTACGTTGCTACGGCAAACGCAAGAAAAGCTTGGAAATTGCCATAAGGAAACAAAAAGAAGACAGAATACGAACATACACGAATAGCATGTAACTAATTAGTCAATACTACTCGACAACAAGGAAATAATAAAGCACATGATAAAGCATGTGCACCCAGGAACAGATAAAACGGTTAATCTCAAGGAACTAGGAAATTGAGAATTTAGATAATGCTGCAGCTATATACCGCTTGAAGACCTTCGAAGAAGCTGGGAGCACGAGACTCTTAGTTACTTTGTTATATAAACTTCCGGCACGAAACGTGAAGCTTTTGGCTCTAACTTCCTTCTCCAATCCAGCCGCCACTTCTGCTTGATAGTGATGGCTGAATGACGACTGCTCATGATTCCACTTGTTTCATATTCAGTGTTTCAAATGTTCAAATGGGGCACTTGCAATTTTTGCGATCCGCGCGAAGCCTGCGACGGATCACAGGAATTGAAAGTGCCCCGATCAACCCCCCCCCCCCCTTTTTTTTCACGTTATAGGGCAGAATCACGAACAGTCGTCTTTCAATCTTCACTGTCAAGCAGAATTCGCAGCAGGATTAACGGCACCTCGCAGTATTCATCGGGCACTTCCAACTCCTGTGATCCATCGCAGGTTTCGCGCAAATCGCGAAAATCGCGAAAATCAGCGAAACCTGCGATGGATCGCGGACTCTGACACCAGCTTTGCGTTACGTGTACAGATGCGAGTTTGTACCAGCAGTAAAGCTTTGGTATCCATCATCCCCCACAATGGGATTCTTCCTACTGGTCCTCTGAGAAAATCTAGAAAAGAATGAAAGTAACAGTCAAGACTCTGCTCTGGAAATGAATAATAAAAATTCTGCGGAGAGCTTATTAGTGGTGGTCTGCGCGAACGACTGCATTCTCACCTTCTGTATTGTCTGCTCGTCTGTTGGTCTCGTGCTCATAGACTAAGAGTCTCAAAAAACGCAGTGGAGATGCAGATAAGGGATTATTTCGATCAAGTTTCCACTTTGGGCTCTGGATGCAGTGGCAGCGATGCGGTCTGCTACTATGGCTGTTACATCAAGGGATCGAATCCGGCTGTGGCGCGAGTCCGCTGGATCATTTCTACAATATTAGGATCACGTCGCTAATTGTTTCTCATACTCCGCTTAAGGGCTTCTATTTTCTGCTTCCGAGTGTGATAATAGCATGGACTTTACCAACGCCTAGATGTATGATTAAGTCAAGAAAAATTTTCACACGTACCGAAAACCCAAATTAACACATAACTTAAACGAAATCAACAATAAATGTTCGTAGAAATGAATGTCATCGTTTTCGATGACTTTTGCCATCCATCTGCAATCCAGACCCAGGAGGAGGACCACTTCTTGGGTTTCCAGTTGAAGAACACAAGAACGCACTCAACTTTATCAAAGTCAAATATGCGACTCTTACAAAGTGTTTCATTGACTGGGAAGGTCATGATTGGAACCCGTCATGGCGATATTATTGAAATATTCCCATAAATTCCGAATGGTCGCGACCGGACGAAATATGAACAAAATTTGCTTCCATTTCGTCCGGTAATGACCATTGAAATCAGCATTCTCGCGGATTTATTGTAAATGAGCTCTTTCATCAACTTACGATACTGAAAGTTTGAACGAAAGTGTCGCTGCCAACAGTTCCGTTGGATCAGCGGGCTAATCAGTGAAGGCATTCAAATTCCCATGGAACTTTGAATCAAAACCTAGATATATAAAGGGAGGCCAAAAAAGAATCACTTTGCCTATACCGCACATCATCAAATTTTTCGTCGCACAGGATGCCGTTGTTGATGAATGTTTTACGGCAGAATATTCCTTAGGTGTCCCCCAAAAGCAGAAGCAGCTCTCGCCGTCTTCAGAATATGACGTCATCTGCCATCAGTCGAGCTCAGCGAGGCTTACCGTTACCGCTCCGGCGAGTTTTACCCGTAACCGCTCCGGCCGTATAAGCTCTACATTGTTTCTTCAATCGAAATGACGGTGTAATTGAGCTTCTTAATGCACTAGCAATGAACTGAGCAACACCAGCTTCACTAAGCGTTTCAGGAACACTCGTAAATGGGTGCATTGTACTAAGACCGAGCATTGTTGCAGCTCGTAGTTGAACACAATGATTTCCTGAGAAATCTTCGGATGTCTTCGGTGTAGAAGGCTGATATGTATCTTCTTGATATAAAACGTGCTCTTCAATACTCATTTGGGTTTATTTGATCTGGTTCCGCAGCATGTAAGTTTTGAATATGGAGGGAAGTGACTTTTTTTCTTGCCCCGCAGATATGAGCTGTCAAACGCAAGACATACAAAATATGGAAATTAAAACTGTCAAAGTGAAACCTGCCAAAGAAGTGTAGAGCAGCAAGAAACCCGATGAAGTAAAGCTCAACATCGATTCGTTCTATAAGTCCAAGCATGTCCCATGAGTCGCCGGTGGATAGTGGAGCTCCGCTTCTCCGCCAGCCGGAGGTCACAATGTAGGCTTCTCTTGTTAGAGTTGCCCAATTGCATGCACTTACCGTTACTCCGCGGCGACTCTGAAAGCCCGAACGACTGTCGCTTCATAATGCACGCTTAACACCAATCGATTGACTGTTCACATTTCCTTACCAACTAGTAGTTTCCGTTTGCAGTTCCTAGTTATAAGAGTGCTAGAATTCTAGATTATCTAAATTCCTAAATCAAATTTCCCAATCGGGAATTGAATGCCCTCGTTGGGGGTTTTAAAAGTGCCTTTCGAATAGTGAGCGCTTGAAAGCGCTGGAACTTAGGCAACTTCAGAGCAACTGCTTGACGGCTTGCCTTCTGATATGCGGTATATGCTGTGCTTATACGTGTGTTATCTAGAAGTCCATTACCGCTACACTAAATGAAGTAATTATGCATAACATAGTACGCATCCATTAAATACATCTCTTCTGCATTATGTAATTACGTATATAAATCGCCTTGTCTGTGTGTCTCCTCATCTGTCACGAAATTTGGTATTAGCTGAATCGATGGTAAGCTGGTTCAAGTTGGGAAGCCTAGATTTTACAGACCGCGTATTACATAACATAGATAAACTGGAATCCGCTCAGGGTGGGCCCAAGAAAACCGAGCTGAAATTGAAAACGTCTCGTTTGTTTAATAGCAACAGGTACATGGCAAACCCACGTATTCAAACTGGTGCTAATAGCGCTTCGTGTGATTGCAGCGAAAAAAACCTGAAAGTGGAAGATAAATCAAATAAGTTTGACCGAAGCTCAGACAATGGCCCTAAACTTCAGTAGGTCGAATGTTACGAGCAAAGAGGGCGGTCCCCCCCAAACGAAAAAAAAAAAAATGAACAAAAATTTACGCCCCTCGTTTAGCGGACACGCTGATCTATCACACCAATGCACGCTAACTCACAAAATTCCTCGCGTGGGTGAACGTTGATATCGGGGAAATCGAATTGAGTTATCAGGGCCGTAAGGATTAGTGCCCTAACCGCGCAACTTTAGCGACGAAGCTGGAGTGTTCTAGGTAGGTACAGGCCTTGCAATTTCCCTCTTACTAGTTGGGCTCGTCCCGGGGTTTACCTTTAGAAACGGGGAAGATGGCTTCAAGTGAGCAAAGATTTATCGAGTGCGTGAAGAATGGTCACCCGTGCTAGGCAAGAACTTCTCTAAATGGACCATGCTAACTAAAAAAAAACTCATGATTCGGTCAAACAGCTTGAAGAAAAGCCTAAAAAGATTGTTATGCAATGTTCTATGTGTGTTGAGCCTGCTTAAAATGAGTAGAGCCCCGTCTATGATAAGTGGTGTTCCTAAAAAAATTCGCGGCTCGATTCTGACAATGAGACGTCTTACAGACAAAGCTAAGTGGAGGACTAGCTGATGGTGAGGAGAAAAGGTGTAATTTTATGTAGGGCCAAGGGGAGTGGAGTCAAAGTCGGTGAGGTTCCGGTTGATTTGTGCTATACTTCCTAAGAGCTACCTGCAGCACGCTTCAGTTTGCGAAGCCAAACTGGTGACTAAAAACTGGTTTATGGAAGTCATTGCTTTCTTTTTCTTTTGCTATTGCTGAAGTTTTGATCAGCATTTAGCTCTCAAAATGCTGCACTAAGTAGGAGGCAGGCAGACTGTGGAAGGTAAAGCACAGAGGCACTATCTTGAAGCGCCTAGTTTGCCTGATCGAATTCCGCATCCACAACTGACGTGCTGAAGTTGGAAGAGGAGAGAAGAAAAGAAGAAGGAAGTTACTTGCACAACCCATCGTGGGAAATTTGGCACGCCCCTACCACTTTTCCACTTCCTGGTAAATTAGTCATGGCACAACAATAAAAAGCTAAACGTCCAATTCACATTTTCTTCTTAGCTTCAATCCCGCGCCGTCGCACGGTCCGCTGTTCTCGTAAAACGTCGCCACTGGGTCCTATCCAAGGTACGTATCTTCTGGGGGCGCTCATGGTCGTTTGTTTTGAACTTCATCCAATGTTTCTTTTATGGGCTGATCCGGTATCCTGGACGGGTGCACTTCTCCACTGTACCTGTTTTTATGGCTAGCGTGTGTCCGTACCATCGCAGTCGTTACTTTCGTGTTTTCAGCTGTGCACGGGCAGTCTAAATGAACGACTTGACGTCCTCGTTTATTACATAGCCCGGTCATGTCCACCCGAGTAAAGCGGTAAAATTCCAGTCTGCTGGGGCTCTTTGCTCCTAGTCCCTCCCTAGTCCTCGAGAAGATTCCATTGGGCTCTCACTCTAAGTATGGGATAATGAATGAGCGACTCATTTATGGTGTACCTTTTATAAGGACCGGTGGATGGCCTATATTCCACATATCCTGCCCACATCCTATTCAATTTTCTGCACCGGGTCATCCACCTTGGAGTTCCTCCAGCTCTAAGCCGAGGCGAAGATCCCTATCCCGTGTTCAGGACCAGCTTTTGACCATTGCAGGGCCAAATTGTGGAACAGCTTAGGATTGCTTCCACATTACACTGGTACTTAGCAGAAATATACTTCAATTGAGTAGATTACGTGCTATGAGTGCTTCTTATTTTAAGCGTTGGAAAACACAATGTAGCGCCCCCTTCCCCCAAACTGGAATTTCACCTAGTAAAGCTGACCGTCGTGGTTCTTGTTAATGGGCTAGTGTTCGCAGTCGTAGAGCATCTTAGGCCTTACCACTGCCCAGTACACCTTTTCGCTCTATAGCGTCGTCAGTAGGATACCAATAGACACCCTTCACTTCATCTACACTGCATTTATTGCCTGGTCAACATTACTCGCTTCCAAGGGATCGGAGCTCCTCCACCCTTTCGATACTTTCCCCCAATAAGCCCACGATTGACTGCTCACCCTTGCCCTAAGCTCACGAACTTGTTTTCGTCACGTTCTGCCAAAGCGCATTCTCCCAGCGCTTTACGTCACATCTGCCGTTTGCCCTAATTTTATCTCTGCTATCCACTAGCAGGATGATGTAATAAGCAGAGGATGGCCCGCAGGGCTTCCTTATGAGCCCCTTATCCAGGCATCCAGTGGTAGGAGGAAGAGGATTGGGCTCAAAGCTATTCCTTTGACGTCTACCGCAGGCGCCTTTTGCTAGGCAGTGCGAAGTACATGTAGTTGCTTATGCTCTCAGTACATATAAAACAGATGCTTCATAAAGTTTCGCTATTTGAGCGTCTTCCAGTACTGGCCAAGGTAGACTGCCGCACGTTTTTCAAGGCCGAAAGGAAGCTAGGCAGCACGGCTCACGCGTTTCTCTGTAAATCTCCATCACTGTTCTAACGATGAAGATACGTTCCGTCATGTTTCGGGCATGAAGCCGGACTGTTCCTGCAAGTTCCGCGAAAGGCTACTAATAAGGCTACCAGTTTAGGAGTCGGTGTGCGCGCTCCCAATAACAAACCAGTTTTATTCATCATTCAAGATCTATTCATTTATGCTGCTTACGTTCATTCACGTTCTCGAGTTAAGAAAGTAGGAGCTACTACAGTCACGACGCTACGATAGCCGTAATCTTCCTTGACAGTCGAGCAATCCTTCATAAAATAACTCGCCTTCTATTTTCTTTGAAAGTTTCATCCTCCAGGAGCCTCCTAGCATTTGAGGAAGCATTTTGCAAAGGGATGGTGATCAAAGGCAGTCCCAAGATTAAACTCACTAGAAGAAACCACTCCGCGAGTCTGGTCCGTTACCTACAGAGAGTCGTACCAGCTTTGTCGCAGAAAATGCGTACGCTCTTCATTAAAGCAACAATCCCAGCAGGGAATGATCCGCCAGCTCTATTCAGGAACATAAAAAGTGTGACAAACAACTCGCGTTGGAAAGGAAAGGGATTTGAACTCCTTGGCGTGGTGTTCGATCGGCAGTAACCCCCCCACTTGCGAGCCGTGGAGATCAAGTGCTTCTATGCGGACTCTGCGCTTCTGCGCGCTGCGTGTAACTGTACCGCGTTTCAATTAATGCTGCCTATTTTGATTGATTTTTACTAGCTTAACTCATTTACCGTCGCATTTCTTTGTTCGTTAGCTGATGCATATGTCTCTGCTTGTACTGGTGCAGATGCGACTGCGGGCGCATTGCCCGGTGGCGCAAGCTAGTTCGGACAGCCGTCCAACACTTGCTTCAATGGGGAAAAGGGAGAGTCTCTGTTTAAAGAATTCATCTGCGCTTTTCTCTCCATTTTCTCCCATTATCCATCAACTCGTCATCTAGGACTTCATTATAGACCGTCTTTACCTCGCGAATTCGATCTGAAAACGTTGCTTCAAGTAATGGCAACTATTGGAACCCTCCCTACCCATCGCGATCGATGTGGAGATTGGCGTGCTTGCGAGTGTTCCCTTGTGTGTTTTGACTTCTGTAGTCTCTCTTTTTTCTCCGCCATACCAAATGCGAACACAGTGGAAGTTCAGGTCCTTGATTATATGCGTGTTTTCGACGGTTTCTCTTAGTTTTTCAACACTTTCAATGCTTTTCACAGCTCAATATTCTACGAGCGTTTTCATACACCTGTTTTATGTCCGATGCTTGCCTTTGAAAGACTTCAATGCATTGAAGGCTAGTGATAAGTTCACAAGGAAAAGGCAGTACATTATAAATGAAGGTGGTCGGCGATGAAGAAAAAATCGTGAGATACGGCTCAAAATCCGATAAATGGTCTCCCTGTCAGCCAGTACTGTCAGCACTGATGCGACTGTCATCGATGCTGCCCTCAATGCAAGGCTCTGCCTGCTGACCGGCCTGCAGTCAAGCCACGGCATAGGGCTACTAGTGCGAGCGGCGTGCAAGAGGCGCAGAGCTTCGCGGATACGCCCGTCGCTTTACTGGGGGTGTATCCTCACTCCGCCCCCCCAATGGTCGATGTCGTCAAAAGTGAGTCGATTGAACCGGGTACCATCTTCACAACCTTTTGAGCTTTCGGCGTTGTTGCAAACCAAAAGATATTGAGCAGAGGGAGTGTACTCGATTTTCAAAGATTCTGCAGATCTCATAAATTCCCAACTTCCTATGAATCTGATTCTTCTCACAGCCCATTCAAAAATACAACGATGTCGCGAATCACGAAACACCTTCCCTCTCCTTGTTGGGGAATTCCCAACCGATGGTTGACCTTTCCGAAATTGTGTTCAAGAAGCAATTATTTAGCGCGCGATTCAGGAAAACTCTCTCTTCAACTAGGCTCCGACTCCACTTTATGTTGACAATTGCAATTGCAACCTGATAAAACTGTATCAAGAACACCTGCGCTGTCCCACTTAGAGGAGGGAGATCTCGACGAACCGGTTTCACCACAGTGATATGGCTCGTCTCATGGCTGACCATAGTGCCTAAGCGCATAGAAGTTTCCCGTCGTTTTCAATCACTTCGTCCAACACGCTCTCTCTCTCACCGACATTTCAGGTCCTGAGACACCGTCAACTCCTAAATTGGTATTGGCGAGAATAAAAGTCCGGGTCACAAAACTGTGGCCCCCCGCGTTTCTTTTTCTTTCCCCTTGTGCCGGAGTATCCAAATCAATTGGCCAATTTATCACATTCTGCATTATAGTATCTCCTGCCGATGGAATGAATTGAAGTTGATTCCTGCGATTCAGAGCGGATATTCGGAGAAATGTCGGCCTCCCACACAAGCTGGGGCAGTAAGAACCTTTTCGTAGTACTTGTGCAACTCCCTATCAAAAACCTAAAACGTTAACGATTTCTTTTAGTCGTGGCTCATAGTAGTCTTCATTTTGGCGGCATCCATCTACTTTTACAATAATCACAAGTTCCTCACCTATGTGTACACTGCTGACTCCTTCGAACGATTCTACCTTGCGAATCCTCCATCAGGTGAGTGCCTTTCCATCTCATAAACTTATGTGTAGTCCATTAAATACTGGTTGGCTTTAGTAGTCACTTCCATGATGGAGAACGAATGCAAGTGGCCAGTTCTGGAGTTAGGAGCCGTGTTTCCAAGTTCAAACTTCGCTCGCTCCAGGTACGGTAATGCAGATTTGGCCTGGACAAGCGCTGGGCACAACGTGATGTTTGCATGGAGATATTGGGATATAGTAGAAAAAACGACAAAAAAGTTCCACTTTCCGCTCAGCCCTGTCCAAGGCACTTGTAGAGCATCATGACTTCTCCGAAGTTGGTGAGGTAGTCAATGTGCTTTTATTACAGAAATATCAAGTGTAATGCTGTGATGAATCCACTGGCGTCACTGGACGAGTTTGGACAACTCGAGCTCTCTCAGCCAGTCATAGGAGGCGATTTACCCGCCGAAACAAATATTTCGTAAGTTTCTACTTTACTGGAAATGCTCTAGGTTCCCTTAATATATTCATTGGCATGAAAAGTTGATTCGCGTCGGGCTGCGGGCTTCCTCATTCCATCCATTCCACGGTGTCGCAATCCGAGATTCGCACTCATCAATATCGCCTTCTATTCGGTTTATGAAGCGGTTTTCTCGTGTGAATCCCACAGTTCTTTGCCGCTAGCGCAAAGTAGAAAATGACCGCGTGTGGTATCGCTTAATTTATAGCATTGGGATGCTCTCCTCACTATCAGTTATAGCGGGTCTCCAACGACAGGGTTAAAGGAATCACAATCACTTGCAAAAAAAGAACCTAGGAGCTCGAAAGTACTCCACCTATTATTTCATGATTACTCGGAGGGGTAAAAATCTGCCCAATATCAGGCAGACTTTTTTCCCAGCACACCGGCCGGCACAACCCTGGAATAAATCATGTGAACGAGTCCATTCGGTTAGCAGCTAGACCACCAGAGGACTATCGCAAACATGGTGTTCCCTCGCACGGAAACCTACCGACAAGAACGCTTGAGCCTTGCAAAGTAAGCTGCT